GCCGTTGTTTTGGACCTTTCGGACCGTCAGCCCTGCACAAACATGCCCATATCTTTGAGGTGGTCCGGAATTGCGGGGCCGAAATGAGATTGGCCAGCTGTTTTTTCTTAGGTTGGGTGCATGACAGCCGTGATGCACGACTATTTTGAACCGGCACTGTTCTAAAGGGATGATCTTACGCCACGTCTCCTAGTGCCATGCTGTTTCGGTAGGTTTTGCGTTGACGTTGCAAAATCAGATTCTTCAGCCCCAGGAATTTCTCTTGAATTGCGGTTTCACTGTTCGGATAAGACGCACTCCGGCACGAAAGAATAGCGTGCTCTTTTCTCGTCTGCATTATTGCATAGCACAGTGTCCGTTCAGGGCTCAAGTTCTTGAGCGGCGTCTTCTCACAGTCCACCGAGCAGTTAGGAATGTCCACTGTAACGCAGTACACGAGTGTCTTGCGGTGCAGCATACGCACGCAGCAACAAAAGGCAGCGAGCGTGCGTCGTGGGACCAATCTATGGCTGGCAGAACAAAGGTTGAATGGATGACATTAAAGTGCAGACTTACCGTAGTAAGTGCAAACAGCGATGAAATTACAAATGGGAGTGCCAAAAGTGCGCAGCGTTATACCTTGCCCCACGAGTGGCCTTACAGGCCCCTACGGTTTTCCGGAATAACATGCAAGCAGCTTTGAATATGGAGCTGAAATTTTTAGGAGCTATGCTTGAAACATTCATGTCAGACTTTGCAGTTTATGATCTTAGTGGTGCATGCTCAAGAGTGCACGCACCACTAAGACACACATGCCCTTTCTCCAGATCATGCCTCTGACATTGTGTCATTTTGCTGAAAACGACAGCTAACACCCATTTATCGCAAGCAATGCTTTAAAGAGATTTTCTGGACTGTTTATTTTAACATTGTCAATCTTAAATTATGACTATCGATATAGCTGTTTTCGAAAGGTCAGGTCATGCAAGGTCAAGCTAATAAGGATCAAACTTTGACCCTCGTGTCAGATTTAATCTTTTTAGAAGCACATGACTTGGACTGTCAAAACATATCCTACAGCTTTATTAAGCACTTATTACGCTATCCCCGCCTGCCCTGTTGGTGGATTGGACTAATGGCCTGTTGAGGTCTGGATACAGCCGGGTAGGTCAGTGAAACAAAAGCCTTCGCCTTCTTGGCCTGGCATGACTATCTGATGCAGTTTTACGATAGCTTTGCAATACCGATTTTATTTTGGTTTTAGCTCCCCTTAAATTTCGAAATCTCGGTGAACCTCTGCGGTCCCTCCTTGGAGGGTGCAAGTGAAAAAACTCCCACTCGGTAAGAGCTAACAGACTTAAAAGAGAGACCTGCAAAGGGTGCAAAGGTAATAGACCAAATGAATGCAGGGCTATGTGGACAACATAAAACGCAAACAATCAAAATAGAAAAAAATCAACAGCCAAAATGCTGGGCCGACTTAAAACATTGCCAAACACCAACGGACCTGGATCGGCGCAAAGCGTTGGTCTCCTTCCTGAGTATGCATAAAAATAGAAGATGCTTTCCCATGTGATGCTCTAGAAGCAATCAGCTTGAAAATTGACGCCAAAAGTTCATCGAGGAAAGAAAATGTTGTTGAAGGTAAACAGGTAAGAAAGGAGATAAGGAAATATGCGACAGGAGAGAGGAATTCGGACATTTCAATTTCATTTATGCGTTCATTCGTACCTCGTTTTTTTGCGTTCGTTTTTTGCGTTCGTTCGTACGTTCTCTAAGAAATCGCAAATGAGCAGATGGTGACATGACACTGATTCAAAGTAACCGATGTGGACTCAAATGCAGCCCGAGCGCCGCGGCCTCAGTGTTCCGCTGTGACACCCCGGCTACACGACTGTGCCATCACGCGTCCTGACCTGGGGTTCTCAAACCAGATCAGCACAACAGCGTGCCCACCAGGTGGGCTTGCGCGATTAAGACAAAAGCAGGGAAACTCTAACCAGCGGGGCAAAAACGTTCAGCCAAGCGCTCGTCGGAATTGAGTTTTTGCCTGACCTTCGTCTGACAGGAGAAGCCTTTCTCCCGTTGTTCAAACTGGACTTGAACCGCACAAAACTGCACTGCACAAAACCAGAGCCTAGCGGGAAGAGACATTGCAGAACCAAGATAATCGTGCGTCATATTAAGGGCATGACACATTGGTGCAGGTGATTCCATGTTACAGCAAATCATATCAGTTGTAGTGAAATAACTAACTTCCCCTCCTATATTTTTGGCACTCATCACCAGGGACAATAATGACTACGGTCAACGATGACCATCGATCAGCGAATCTTCCTCATTTAAACATATTGGACACAGTATGTCATAGTGAGACGCCCCGCACCCGCATATGCGAATCTCTCCATTGACCGGGGCGTCAAAAATATTTGATATCTAGGAAAAAAACGATCACAGTAACTGCCGTTCTGAAACAAGCGTATTATTCCGCATGACAAACCTTTGCAGGAATGAGACCCTCGCTGCACAATACAGTACAGAAGCAGCGGTCCGCTCGCCCCCACCCCTTCCCCCCCCCCCCCCCAACACCACATACACCCACCGGCGACACCTCATTCCATTCAAGATTTTGTCCACACAACGTCGCGAGAATACCACTACAGTCAATTTAGAGAGTCAGATTTAGAGAGCAGAGGTCAAATTTAACCAAACTTTGATGCGACATTCAACGCGGGAACTGGTACGACGCCGGGTAAGCTCGATGCAGATGCATAATCAACTTTGACATGACAGAGTGGTGCTGACTCACATGTGGGAGGCGAAGGCGTACTGAAGGAGTTCGAGGCAATGGTTCTCGCTCTCGTCCGTTGTCTGTTTATGGACTTTTGTCCACCAGATGTATTTTACCAGTTGTCTTTGCCCACGTTTTAGTCCTTGGACGACTGCCGACTGATCACGCGTCTACTCATATTAAAGTTATGCTTCTTGGGTTTTGCTGTTCATGGGTTCTATCCCGGGGTATCTCACACGCATATCACAAGCTGCTCATTTGGTTCGTCTGCGGGGGACATCACGCGAATCGGGCGTCATTTGCGTTTTGCCGCTTATGTCGCCCTTCTTGTCACGGACGGTCAGCGCAGCATCAGCCAGGTGGAGCGGTGAACACCAGCAATAGCTGACATTGGCCGGCATTCGCTTCACACGCATGCATGGGGAAGGGCGTTTTCAATCATCGTTTTGCATGCAAATGTGGCCATGCACCATCCAAGTGCACCATGCGGCGGCAAGTCTTCACTCCTTGTCACTCAGGCCGCCTTAACCTGAGCATTTATCCACCTGGAGTTCAAATTCATCGTACCAAAAGCCACCAGCAAAAAAGTTTTGGCATCTTTAAAGGTACTTCATGAGCACTCCATTACACATTAAGGTATAAGCCATCCGTAATTTTGGGCACATCGTCCTAACACACATTTCAGGATATCTCATGTAATCTTTTTTACGGATTTAAGTACGCAATCCCTTAGGTTTATATGTCTGTTCGCCTTCCACTACTAAGATTAGACTTGCTTTTATCAGAATGTGGGAGAATCGGGTAATTTGAACGGTAACGCAAACGTTAAAACACGGCACGCCACCCGAGTTGAGCCGAAAGGCGGGAACGAGGGAGGGGCTCTCCAGTGATAGGGCGAAATTCCTGCGATGCTGGGTTTTCAACAACTTTGTTTAGCCTGGATCATCGGATACGCGAACTGTCTGAAACCATGAATGCAAAGTCGAGGCAAAGTGCATGCTAATAGCAATCTCAGCAAGAACGCCAGGTATCATCTGGTACGCATCATGAAAAGGAAGAGGAGGAGAGGGAGGAAAACTTAAAAACTCAGCGCGCTGTCATATAGCTGTATGTGCGTTAGAAGCTTTTGTGGTCACCTCGCTCGTATATTTCTATCCATATCCGGTGAAACCCCCAGGAAAATCACAGCTCAGTCACGACCCGTTTGGGCAGCGTCTGAACAGACCGGCCACCACTTGCGGAGCCGCCGTCGGTGCGTGACCTGCGCTCAGAGCCGCCGCTGCGTCGCCGAGGGTCGCTGGGCAGCGCGCGCCAGGACGCGGGCGCGCATGGCGGCGCCGCGGGCGGGACAGAAGCCGCGGTCGCGTGGGCCGGCGCCCGCGTCACATGTCCACTTAGGGCTTCAGGAGAGACGCGGGCGGGGCCCGGCTCGGCGTAACTGGCGGCGAAGCGTCGCGCCCGCAGAGCGACCGGGCTCGACATCGCCGGTCCAACCAAGGCACGCATGGTTTGTGACTGACGGCTCTGGCTAGCAGGTCACCGATGGAGCGTGGATGCGGACGCTGCGGGCCTCTGCCCTCCGCGGACCGCTGGGGCTGCATCGTGTCGTGCCGAATGGCATCTCTCCTGTTTTTTAATTTGTCGTCGGTGCCTGTGCACCGATCGTGCCAGCGAATAGCTTAAGTTAAATTTGTCTGTAATGTCATATGGCAGTGGCTAGTTTTTATAAATGGCGAAACCTGACCTGAAAAGTTTAGGAAGCGTTCTGGAAAGGTCACCTGGCCGCTGACAGAGTGTGCGTCTCCGTCACTAAGCCGGACAGCGAGGTCGTACTAGGTCATCCCACCAACAGCTGGCATTTGACACGCCGTGTGAGCGCGGCGTCTGTTGCCGCTCACGTCGGCGCGAGCCTGGCCAGCGCTGGCGCAGACGGTCGTCGGTCAGTGCAGGGCTCCTGCCGGTGGCCCAACACCGCCCTGCCCCCCACTGGCTCATCTCACCTCTCCGCCGGACCGGGCCGCACAATCGCTCATCGTCTGCTCGCCGGCCGAATCAATACGTGAACGGTGCCCCATCTGGTACTGGGCCCGACCCATGCGTCCCGCTCCGCACGGCCACCGCCGGCCGCCCTCCCCGAGCCGGGGCCCGCCGGCTGGCCCCGATCAACACGTGACAGCCTGGACCCCGCCGCCTCCGCCGCCGCCGCCGCCGCCGCCGCCGCTGAACCCACCTTTATGCATGCCGGTGAATTTGTCCTTGAGCACGGTCAGCTCGTAGATGCTGCCGAACTCCTCGAACATGGGCCGCAGGTCGCGCTCCTCCAAGTGCCGCGGAATCTGGCCGACGAACAGCTTGACGGCGTCCGGCTCGCGGCTGGCCGGCGCCGGCTCGCTCAGCTTGGCGAGCAGCGCCGGCTGCGGGTACGGCGCGAAGAAGCCAGGCTCGCCGGCCAGCCCGGCCGGCAGCGCCGCCATGTTGTAGAGCATCGTGAGCGCGCGGACGGGCGAGCGGCACACACGGACACCGTCGCTGGCGGGGACACACTGGCGCCGGCCACCGCCGCCGCCGCCGCCGCCGCCGGCGCTTTAATTGATCGGGGCAGCCGGCGAGTCAGGGCGCCGCGGGACACGCACCGCCCACCGACGCGACCTCTCTGCCGGCGGCGGCGGCGCCCCCGGCGGAAGGGGTCAGCACCCGGGGTGCGCGACGTTCGATGGCACAGGTTGACCTGACGGCCCCCGCTCTCGCCCCCGGGAGAGGTCAGAGCTCGGGCGGCGAAGCGTGGGCGCGGGAATGAGGAGATGTGGGAGGGCAGTCTCACCCACTTGAAGTGAATGATTATCCAAAGTCCTTTGGTGATTGGCACAATTACTCGATTGGATGAGTAAAAAAGATTCTCGCACGCTTTCGAAGCGTTCGTATGTAAGGCACTCACCATTTACGTCAGTCATTCCCGCTGTCAATCCTGTACCAAGGTGGAAGAGCTCGGATTCCATCAAAAATATTGCACATGTGAAAAGAGCCTGACCCATGGCATGTCCCTCACCCATGGGGAAAGGGGTCAACAGTCTGCGAAGTGCGCACTGCCCGAAAAGCGTCTGCTTCCCTAGTGCCCCAGGGGAAGGAGTCGCCATGGGCGAGCGGGAAACTTTGTCGGCCGACTCCCCCCATCTCAGTGACCGCTCGACCGTTCTCTCCCGAGAGGGGTACCCGCTGACGTTCGCTGTCCTGGGAGACGACGTTCGGCCTCATACAGGTCTAGTCGTTGCCGGCGGCAGACTGCCGCGACAGTAAGAGGGGCACCTGAGTCACGTTCTGTCAACAATCAGCCCAAGATGGCTCTCACCACTTGCAAAGAACAGAAGCCTGTTCGAGCCGGGAGAGATGTACGAGACCGCAGCGGCCGGTCTCCACCGTTAGCGAACAGGACTTTCACTGTGTCACTGCCTAGCAAGCCAGGATATTAGCAGGGGGTCCAGGGTGATTACAATATGCGTCAGCTCGTTAGACGTTGAGAGATGAGGACCAGCTCTTGGGTAGTCTCTGTGGGTCGATCTATCTTTCGACCGAAACGGAATAGCTTTGTTCCGAAATATTACTTAATGGCCACTTAGCGACTCAACCTCTGGAAAGCTGAGCTTTCCAGACGTCATTGAAACCCACACCACAATGGTGTTGTAGGGGGTCAACAACAGGTATTCTTGTTAGCTTACCATGAATTTATTATCCAAAGACAACGGCTCAAACCGTGTCGTTTAGATACATTTGAATGTATTTAATATCAACAACCACACAAGAGCGCAGGCGCTTCAATTTGCTGTTGCTACATAACTATTCTTGATCTGACCTGACCATGTAACCGACTGGCAAGCGTGCGGCCACTCTGTGTCTGATCTTGCAACGCTGCTGATTGTGAACGGAAACCTTCATCTGGGGCGCGGCGGAAGCGGCGAAGTGAGCGCAAGGTGTGAGGAACAGCGGAGAAACAAACTTTTTGCGAGAGCAGTGTCGGGTAGGGAAAACAACGTCGAGGGGGCGCGTAGCTTGGAGGACAGGGTACCGAGCTGTGTACGCTGTTGGAGACCAGCAGGAGTGACGTACCGCGTGGCTCAAATACATAACATTTTTGAGACCCGCTAGCTGCTTCTTACACTGATTTCATCCCCCCCCCCCGAAAATGATCCGGGGCGGCTAGAATTGGCACAATTCTAAACTTTGAAGAAAGTCTCAGCAGATTTTATTGAGAGGTTTGTCGTAGAACATTTATTGGGGAAAGTAAATAGATATCAGATAAGTTTTTTTCTAAACTAGACTAACTTTCTGGATTTTTCACGCTCCGAAAGCCAGGGCTGCTTTTCTAATTCGGCGTTCTGGATCCGCCCTTGGCTGTATTGACACGCAATGTCATCATCGTCAAGATGATGGCCCAGATCCAAGCCTGAGTGCTCTATAGATGTCAAAGGATTGACCGCTGAACCGCAGCGTGAATACAAAACTACGTTTATTAAACTGTCTTGGAAACCAACTTAAGCGCTTCACTTAACCGAATTAGAGCCAGTCCATGCCAATTACGGACACAGGCGGCGATCTAAATTCTTTGATGCATATTACGTGAATATCACTTGACCGGAATTTACCTCAAGTGAGGTTCGTATCACTTGCAGCCTGGAAACAACATCTTGAAACGAAAGCGTGCTCAATTGACGTTAAGAAAGGGAGGGCAACATTCAGAGGGAATTATGTGCAAAGCTGAAACTTAGACAACGGTATGACAGAGGACAGCGTCAGTAAAAAAAAACTAAATTACTCAAATTCAAACGGCAGCGTGACATACAGGGCGAACGAAACGGATCGCAGTCAATGAGCGAAATGATGACAGCGTAATGCTCATCCCGTCACCGTGGTGACGGTTGGTGCACCACCAGGCGTACTCCTCCAACCGATACCGTGGAAGGGTTGGAAAACACTGCGCCCAGATATATCAGGTTTGGGTGGTCTCTGGGGAAATTTGACTTGCGACCTAGAGCCCAGATCATTCTTCTCTATAAAATTAGTGCGTTGACATGTAACGTGACGGACGGCGTTAAGGGCCACGCAAAAAAATAAACCCTACATGATCTTTGTTCGCATGACCAAACATCAACTATAAAGTGCAATCTGAAGTATCACCACAGGATGTGCAGGCTTTGCCCAATTACGTCATTATTTCACAAACTGGCCTAGCACCAAGCGGAATGTGTAAAATGCGTCACGAAAACCTGGCGGGTGTTTCTGAGGGTTTGAAGACCCTCGGAGTGACGTAATATTATGAGCTATGTAATATAGGAGGCTCTGTAACACCGACGAGCATACCGTAAAAATAACATTCGAGCTGGCTTAAAAGGCCATGGTTAGTTGTTTTGTCTTTTTGAGGCCTGTGCGCTTCCTAACTGATACGGATCGGGGAAAGGTTGATGCGAACCCCCAAGGTTTCTGAGGATACATTTGCCGCGTGTCCCCGAAATTTTCAGAAGCCTTTGGAACCCATTGCGCGTGTGTTGATGCTGGCGCGACCATCGGACGGCAACCGGCGGTGTCGAGGAACGTGCGTGACGGGCGAACATTTTTCACTAATAAAAAGCGTGCTCGGGGAAACTTGACTTTTGACCCGGTATAATGGGGTCAGCTTTTGATCTAGCAACACTAAACTTGTTGTCAATAGTGGGTTGCTGTTGACTGGTGCTTTCCGCAGAGCCGACTGGCGCTTTCCGCAAAGTTTTGTCTTTTTTAGTTTGGAAACGGCACGGGAGCACATCGACCCCTCCCCCAGTCCGTGGCTTGAAAAACGGCGAATCAAGGTAAAGGTTAGCATGCGCCCGGGTGGCCGGCTGAATACTCTTCGCTCGGGTGGGGTTAATTTGATCCCTACGATCTCAAAAACAAAGACAGCTAGATAAACCACATTTACAGGGTGCATTGGCCTACTTATGAACTTTCTTGTGCCAAAGTTTGAAAATTTTTGATCATGACTTTTGGGGTACACTAAGGCCAAACAAGGTAAAATTCTAGACTGGTGTCCAAAAAGCCCCAGACCCCCTTTTGTATCAGCCTAGAAATCAAATATCTGTTCTAAGAAAAATATGAATAGTTTTCGCTTAAGGTCAGCGACCTGTTTTACCATGCAAGGTTTGGCACGGCTACGCCACGCCGTAAATTTTCATAGAAGGCCTTAGGAGGGGGAAGGGGGGTTCAAATCGACCCCACCCAAGTGTGTGTTAAATGAAGCGACCGAAATAAGTAGCACTATGATGTAAAAAAGAGCTGCTAAGGTAGGGCGGCTCTTTTCAACTAAGGGTCTTGGTTTGGTTAGCCGGCCCTCTAAAGAATGCATATTTTTAGCATTCAAGGTAGTATCTTTTGCTTCGTGAGGGGAGCCTGGGCTGGATACTTTATTCTAATGGGAGCACAGTGATTAACAGCTTACGGCTCGTTGAATGAAGGGGATTGGGATCTTATTACACTACTCTTGCCAATCTTGTTTGCACATTACCCGGTTCCAAAGGTCCGCTTTTAAACTAATTAGTCGCCACCCTTTGCCCTTACGAGACCGCCGGCCCTAGCACCGCTGGTTGTTTCATTTTCAAACGCTTAACAGTTGATCTATATTAAATTGAAAACACGTTATCCATCAGAATGGCATTTCACGAGAAGGCCACGAGAGCGACAAACATTTTATTTAACAGGCGACCCGCTCGTTCCCAGCCATACACCTTGCACAAACATGCTTCACTGTCCTTACCAAAGCAAGGTAAGAGAAAAACATGGCTATGACAATTTTTTGTTTAACGAACACAAACTATACACTGAACCACTTAGGATGACTCCGGCTTCGGCTTCCGCCAACATCCTCATCCGCTCAGGCTTTCGGTCTTCCAGGTGTCATGGGGAGACAAACTCTCACGTCATGAAACTCAGAAGAACGTAGAAAGCCGCTTCTGAGCCACTGTGCGCTTCGACCAGCGTATTTACAAATTCAGACCAACGGCTTTTGCGACTTGCAGCACATTGCACGGGCACTCCTTTTTCATGTAGAAGGAGGACGTTCAGCTTCAAGAACAAAGTTACATGCTTCACTTACGACAGGGCATCTGAGCGAACACAACAAACGAAGGCTGCCATACGGCCATGGTGCTTTTCTGTGCTGTACGCCACATCACAGACGGCCTCCCCTTCACAGACAAGGCTGCCATTCGCCGCAAATTCCTATGTCCAGCTCTCACCAACGCCATTTGTCTGTTTTTTTTTTAAAAACATTTATCCACACATCAGTCATTAAAGACTAATGGCATCGGGTTTGCAACCAGCTACAGCATTTATGCGTAAATGCAACACCCAGGGGAGTAGTTTCGTAAAATGGGATGGGTCAGAGGGGGGGGGGGGGGGGGCGTAGCCAAGCAGCGAAAAATGATAGCCTACCGCCAAAATGCAAAACAAACGGGGTTATCCCCGAATTTGGCCCACATTATTGTTAAAGCTTGGGGGCTCGAGCACAATTTGGGGGAGGGGTGTGTGCCGAGACACCTCAGCTGAATAGAAACCACACCCTTGGTAACACCTCACGGAGCAAACTTCGCGTGGCGTCCACCGAGAGCGCAATTTAAGAACTTCACCGGTGATAAGGCGATTTTATTTGCTGTAAAACCTGACTATAGTTTGTTGAAGAAGACTTAATTCGATATCTTGACATGCTCTTGAATCAATTTCTGTACATAATGGAATTCAACAACGTCGAATGATCAGCCAAGATTGAACAATGCGACTATGATGAAGTAAGCGAAAAATCTTACGTGTTTGATAGTAGCGACAACCCACGTAAAGCCTTTCCGAGCTTCTCAAAAGTATGGTTATTCTTGACATTTTAAAATGCCAAGTACTTTTCAAACAGTGATAAAGGTCCGTGAAGAAAGCATAG